CTAAGTGAAATGGAGAAAAGCTTTAGTTTGTGGCTACCGCGGCTGCGAGTTTCTAGCCGGAAGCCTCAATACCCGCCCCCTAAAGCTCTGTACATAGGTCCCACGAGATGAAAAGGAGTGTTACCAAGATATAACTCTTATTATTTACCTTGCTAATAACGCGCAAGTTTATTTAAGAGATTTAGCTCTGCAAGATTGACTCTGGACTCCCTGCGCAACAGCCATCAAGATCTCAGTAGCCCCTGATATCACTGACATGACAAGATCTTGTCAGCATGCCGCCATGCCACGGTAAGGCGCAGGATGATCACACACACGGTGGATCGTTATCTCGGCATGTATTTACGGTTACTAACCGCAGACTACGCTGGCCGGGCGTGATCCAGGTACCCGCGACATATCCTAGCGCTCACTAAGAAGGACCGGAAGTTTGATGTCGTGCAGCCGACGCCAGGACTAAGATCCTTAGTTTGATACGGATCAGCCTTGTTTCTGATGATGTTTGTCCGGTGAGTATTAGCGAGAACTAGTCGAGGAACGCTGTGGAAATGACAGCTTCCCGCTTAATTGCCGAGATGATTTGGCCCTGACGTGAGATCATTCGGGGGGATATGAAGATCCAAGGAGCCTCTTCACAACGACAAAACCCGGCTGAGGATATTTCTGAGGACAGCAGTAGCTGAAATTGACGAGTTTTGCCAACTCAGAGATGCTAGGCCTCGCAGAAGGTGCCATCCCAGCGCATCACCACCCCTTTCAGCAGCCACCATGCCTCCATGAGGCAATCTTCTCGTCACAGCGGCCCCACGACTCGCCCAACCAACACTGGCGATGTAAGAGATAACAGGGAAGTATCGAGTTTGGCCAACAAAAGATGGATACAAGCCGTGTACTTGTCTCACGAGACTGACATCCACAACTCGATGCAGGGTGACAACTCACGAGTGTACTCCGGGGAGACTTCCGGAGAACAAACACTCAGGAAAAGTGCACAAGTTTTCTTATGGCGGCTATTCAGTCTGGGAGAAATGGAATGGGCCTTGTGAATCGTGGGATGTGGGATATGCTGTCCTCGAGGTCGGCCGGCTAGGAGAGGAGTTGAGTTGAGGATACAAATAGTCCAGCCTGTTGTCTCGAAAAGTGAAGTTATACTCAACGAAAAACAAGAGAAGTTGAGAAGTTTACACCAAAATTCTATCTATTTTCTACCCTTTACTATTAAATTTTTGTTGTATCTCCAGCAATGGCTACTCTCAGGGGCACCACCCAGGACTATGCAACTACCATTCAGCCCTCTGAAAACGATGGCGCTCTGGGTTTAAACTCTGAACTCCTCAGGGAATCACCTCTCAAGAACTGCAACTCCTCCAATGCCGCACTGACTGGTCCCCTAGTCTGGTCCGGAGCAGACTATCAGGGGGACCAAGCTTACACTCTCCGTCTTAGCGGCGAGGAAGCTGAGGAAGTCGACAGCGCCCTCGCTAGTTTCAAAAGTTAGATCTCCTACTACGTATGACTCGGGAAGTAAATGTTTGCTAACGGGTGAAACTAACTAGCTCTTGGGCTCGACGGCGACGAAGTCTCCCCTGACAACTTCCCTCTTCCAAACCTGTCTCGTCGTCTGCGTGCGAGCGCCGAAACTCTCCATCTCGGAAGAGGCTTTGTCGTCATTCGTGGCATCGATGGCGAGAAATACTCTGTCGAAGATAGTGTTACTATCTTCTTGGGCGTAGCTGGTTACATTGCTGACAAACGCGGGCTCCAAGACCGCAAGGGTAACATGCTATGTACGTTTCCGGAAATCTAAACCTTCAACAAACTCCCAAGCCCCTCGAATACTACTATTATTTAAGAGCCGTCGGTTTTATCTAACGTTTTTAGCTCATGTAACCGACTCGAAGCAATGGAAGACTCCTGCCGACGCGCGTCATGGTATTCATACCAATGGATCTCTGGTATGTTACATCAACTCCACGAAAATAACACTCTACTTACTAGTTCCAGCCTTTCCACACTGACATGGGATGTGACATCCTATCCCTTCAAGTTCGAGACAGCGCCAACAAGGGAGGATATACCTATCTCAGTTCAGCCTGGACTGTCTTCAACGACCTGCTCAACCGAGAGCCAGAAGTCATCAAGACACTCCTGACTCCCAACTGGCCTGTCCAGCTGTAAGACAAATACACCCTCTACTCAGTGAAACACAACTAACGAAATGTTCCAAACAGATCGGGCCGTAAAGCTTCATACTATCTCGCTCCTGTCTTGACATTTCACGATGGCAAACTCCTCGCCAGCCTCGACCCGCATCGCCTCGGGCCGCACCCGAGCATGACGAACTCCAACATTCCCTCTCTTTCAGAGGCACAAATCCATGCTCTTGAAGCTGTCTCGGAGACTGCTTCTCGTGTTGAGTTGCAGCTAAAGCTTGAGACTGGAGATCTCCTGTTCTTCAACAACCTCGCCCTCGTCCACCGCCGAGACGCCTACACTGACGACGATAACTCGTCTCGTCACATGGTTAGACTCTGGCTTCGTAGCCAGAAATACGGCTGGACAATTCCTAACGGCATGCTTCCTCCTTGGGAGGCTGCCTATGGAGAGAACCGCAAAATCAAGGCCAGGCACTACCCTGTTCATCCCATGGTAGAATACACTGTGCCGAAGTACAATACCAGCTCTGCAGCCTTTATGATCGAGGACTCTGAGACTTCAGACGAGGAGTGATGATTCTCTGACTACTCCACGCTCTTTGATTTTGTCTCCGTTCTGAGACCCCCAGTCATTTCCGAGCCATGACATGTTTTGGTTTATCAAGAGTTTTGAGAGTCTATCTACTGTCGTTTCCTCAGGAATAGCCTACCATAGGTCACCACGCAGGGCTGTACACTAGCTATTAGTCGCTCATTGGAGAATACAACCAACATCCTGCAATACTGTTATCTCGAGACATCTTGTCACGTGTCGGTGTCATGTGAGAATTGGAGATAAAAACCCTCTGTTGGTTGTTCCCCTTCCAACTCTCTTTCACATTCCTGTCTTTTGCTTCCATTCGTCTTTTCACACGTTCTCGTATTCATCTTCAGATCTCTATGTCTGTTTGAGACAAGCGTTGACGGAACGTTCCTCCCGCCATGTCAAGGCATGCTCCCATCTACCAATACATAATCAAACTCCTCTGGAATGACATGGCACGACGACACCAGAGTAGGAGATTATCACCTATAGCGTCCTCTCACTATGACACCAACATCGTATCCCTGCCCTTGTACTTCCGTCAGCTGAACTACAGCCCCTAATGAACCTACCAGGAAACTATCGGAGCAATGCAACTTCGACCGCACCCTCCGACGAACAATAAATATCTTGATGAAAAGAAAGGACTGAAGCTGGCTAAATTCGACGCCTCTCGGCAAACCAAACTAACTAAAGAAGTGATAGGCACGGGAATGGCTTGGAGTTTATATTAGCCCCAAGCTAGCCGTTATCCCTATGTGAGAACAGACGGTAAGATCATTTCTTTTACCTTGCTGAAATCTGACAGTTGGGAAAGTGAAACCTCAAGGTCACACCAGCAGAGGCAAATCTCACGATCCTTTCCATTTTGGAAAGAAGCCCGACTCTTTGCGAGATTACACAGTTCCTTCTCAGCATCCTCCTGGTCTCGGCCTTCGTCTCCATCAAATGCCGAAGTGAATCACAAACATGACCTGTTCCAAGCCTGCAGATCGAGACTCCTATACACATATGTGACATCGTGGATATCGTCGACTAGAAACAGCCGGTTGCGGGCCGTGCTGACATTCTGGTTCGATGTCTCGGCACAATCTCTCGAGATTGACGATCCTACTGGCCCCTGTTATGTCATGGGATATCTCAATACCCGTGTCTCAGACATTCGATCACGCCCTTTAATTATCCACTTTCGCGTTGTTTGAATTTCTCCGGTCATGAACTTGCGGTTGATCGTCGAGCTGTCATATTTTCTACCCCATAATATGTCTCAGCTCTTTCACGTGAGAGTTTGAACCTTGCCGCACTCTGAAAATGGAACCCTCACGAACGGAGGATTTGTTTGGATGGCTCTGAGGATGTGATTGTGTTTGATATTGTTGTTGAAATCTCCAATTGCCTTTTCTATTTCGCGAATGTGGCCTTGCCCTCAACTCGCAGCTACAGACACACAATCAATGCCATTGAAACTTTCGTAGTGCCTGACGAGACCAGCTGCTCGTAGGTATTACTGGTATGACGTTGCTCCATCTTCGGTGAAGGCTATTTCCAATAGCCTCCTGTCACAATCCATGGCCTCTCGGCACGGGTAATGCGTAGTGCCGCGTGCGTACCAGATGAACCCACAGCATGTACCAAGCAACCACTCAGGTCGACCGGTAAGGACAGAAGACCAGCTTTGTGGGTCCGTAGAGCCCTCTTTTTGTGTCTCTGATAGGCTGAACATTTTGGACAGGGATATTGGTACAATCCAACCCTTACTAGGGACGATCAATCCTCGACGCAAATCTCGACGCTTGAACCATAACCCACATGAGTTGGTCTAAACACCAGAAGACATGAGTTTTGTAAAACCTCACATTCGTGACGAGAGAATTGTGGAATTTATACTGATTTGTTGTGATTTTGGATTGTTTGTTGCTCAAGATGATAAGCTGCAGCTGCGAGCAAGGATTATCTCATGGATGTCTCACACAACGGCCAGGGACTGGTAGACGTCGACGCCCCTGCATCCCCCTTCAGACCAGGTTTCGAGGGCAACGAGTGGGTGATTCCAGGGCACGTTCCCTCAGGGAGGCTGCAATTTTTGCCTCCTGCGTTGTCACTTCACCACCTCTGCCGAGCTGTCGTGTGACTCGAGTTTGTGCTTCACAAGCCAGCGTTATCCCCAATATCGGGCATATCGGTAAAGGACGTGCATGCACTCGACAGCTTCGTCTGCACGGGACCTTGCGCTTCATGGGTCTTGGAACCCAGGTGCCAGCATGGGGGCTTTTACTCGTCCAGCTAAGATCCGCGTAAGTGACAGAGGATGAAGATGAACGAACCAGACTCCACCAGCTCAGCTCAGTTGTCGGGCCTCAATTCGTGTAACGTTTTGCAGTAAGGATGCCTACCAGCTTCGGCAATTTGCTCGCCAGGAACAACGTCTAAAGGCACCCCTGTGAGAATTGTGCAGTAGGCCCTGTTGGTGGGTGTCGGTTCGATGCTGTGTAACTGAAAAGACCCCGTTTCCAAGCCATGAACTCATTCCACCCTGTCTCAATATTTTGGGTACTTTCTTCTAACAGGTCGATCCAGAGAACTCGGAAGCGGCAGAACACGGGCACGGGCGTTGGGCCGAAGCGAAAACGTCACTGCTTGAGCTTGAACCAACAGCGATTTGATAGTGGTAAGTGTTGGCTCGACAGTGGCACTGACACAGTTCTAACGGTTATGCAGATAATGAAGATCGTGTGCCGGGACCAGTGTCCAAGTCTGGGTGTGCAAACTGGCAGGATCCAAGCTCTTCGTCACAGTCCAGCGTATCGCCAGACTTTGCTCAGCAACCTGGACACCCCAAGTCAGACAATGCCACTTCTAGTGGCACTTACACAGGGGGCGTGTATCCTGGTGGGAGTGCCGGTGTTGTCAACGCTCAGGGCTTGGGGAGCCCTCCTCAGGATCTTTCATCACCTGAACATGCTCTCTCCATCTTATCTGGACAGGCAAATCCACGCCATGGAAGTCATGGTACCCCTCTGCGTGCGACAATCTCATCCGGACACGGATTAAGCCCCGAGAGTTCAGCTTCAGACTCCGATTGCAGCTCTGGTCCCAGCTCTAGCGAGTCCTCGGGTCCTGCTTCTGGACAACCTTCGAGTCAGACAATCCGGAGCCAGCCCCCACCAGAAGTATCTCTTCTAGCCAAAGGTACTTGTTCTGATACTTCTTCAAATGAACAAGCTTCTCGTTCAGTCAATGTCATCCAGTCAATCTCTCCACCTGGCGACGATGCGGGTCACTTAGACTTCCCCTTGAAGAGGGGTGCGGAAGATGTACCTGGCCCTTTACTCTCTCCGAAGACTCCGAATACGCTGGGAGACTCCCCGAGTCAAGATGTCCAAGCTCAAGTTGACTTCGGTCGAAACTCTGACGATGACGACGACTCGGATCACTCAGACACCCTTGACCAGTTAGAGAGCGATTTCAATGATTTGCTGTCTCTCGACCCTGGAAGGCCCATCAATGGTTCACTCTCAAGAGACGATGCCATTGCCAGCAGACTTCAAGATGAGGATTCTGATCTTGAAGTCTGGGAGGTTGCCGAAGATGTCCCTGCACCGGATACCGGCCATGATAACGTTAGCCGCCCAGGAACCCCCCCGACTGGCATTCGACGCGCCCTCGCTACTGCACACTCCCCAGAACCCAAGCATCACTTTGAAACAAGCGATGGGGACGATACTGCAAGTGTCGATGGCACATGTAGCAGTTTCAGTGGGAGCAGTGGAGTCAATAATCGTGAACTGATTGTTCAGCCAGAAGATCGAGAAGAAGGTAACGAAGAGTCCGATGTAGAAAATGATCTTTTTGGGGAATTAGACGAAATTGTAACTGATCATTCGGACTCGGACTCCTTCGAGACACGTGCCGGTCCCTCGGCCGTATCCAGTTGGGAGCGTCGCATTCAGTCCTCTTCAGACAACGATGATTCAGGTGAAGGGGTCAGTCCCCAGAACGAGTCATCCGAGGATGACGAGGTGTCGGAAGAAGAGATTGGATATATCTCGGACGCTCGCGACACTAATGTTGAAATCGAAGACGAAACATGGTCGGCCACTTTGAAAACTCCATCATCTTCAACAAACAGCATCGTTTTCCCAAGCCAAACAACTGGCTCCGGGAAAGCTCCCCTCACACCCGAGGAACTTGAGGTTGTACGGACTACACGAGAGATCGGCGCTTGTGTTCGTTGCCGGTTCCAAAAAATCAAAGTACGGACACATTCTCTCTGTCCCGCAATTGTTCACACTAACATGAAATGAACAGTGCGTTATAGACGAGCAGAACCCAGAAGGACAATGCAAAACATGCATGAACGTCTCCAAGACGTCGCCAAAGATAATCCATCGCGTTCCATGCTTGCGACTCCGAATTGCCGACGTCGTTCTCTATCGAACCGGCGGACTCAAACTCACGAAACGATGGACAGGCATCGAAATGCGAGATATTGGGGATCGACTCGATAAGGTTTCTGTCACGATTGAAGTCTCACAGAATCTTTGTAGTAAACCTCTTCGAATGAAGGTTGTGCGATTTAGACCCATTGAAGGGGACGTGACTGCCCGATATTGGACTGATGGCCTTCTTGGGAAGGAGACCTTCAAGAAGAAGGAACTGGCCAACTACTGCCTGGAAAATATCTACGACACGGCCGAAATCGTGCGACAATACACCATCGACAATGCTCTTCCAGCCTTTTATCACACTGTCCAAGAGGAGAGTGAATCAGAAGCTGGTGAAGCCTCCATCGTCAGGACGTACCTCACGGCCATGGCTCGGTACTTGGACCTTCACGTATGCCAATTAAGTCCCGACACGAGCCGTGCCTTACTTACGCTGACTCCCTCGCAGAATGAATACAAATCCACCGGAAGTCTCTCGAAGGACGATGAGAAAGAGCTTGAGATATTCGGCAACCTTTTTATCCTCTGGTGCGCCATCCGTAAGTGCTCCTCTCAATTGCTGCGTCCCACTCTAATCTCGCCCAGAGCACACTGTAGGATCTCTCTACATCCAAGGCGACGAGACTCTAGGCATGGCCCCCGAAACCGAAGACAAATCCTACCCTCTTTACGGCAAAGTGTCGGTCCCTCGTATGGTAGTCGCCCAATTCGACACCCTCAATTACAATGAGATCCTCGAGCGCTACAAGGAGAAGCTTCTACGCGACATCGATTGGCTCTTCAGCCAGGATAAGAATCGATGGTGGTTCACAATCTACCTTGTCGTCTTCATACTCCTGCGCGAAGCTAGTCGCATGACAGCAGATCGGTATCGCCATGCGAGAGCCAACTATGGGTCAAGGGTATGGCGGCCTCAACCCTCAAAGGACGTAGCTAACGTAACAGTTGCGATACTCGATCCCAAACTTTGTGGAGGGACTCCATGCCAGCTGCAACAATATTCTCATTCATTGGCATTACTACAACTACGATCAGTGGCCGACTGCTCGGTCGTCGGGCCTCAACAATAGCGTAGCAAGAAATGGCCACTTTGAGACTCTGGCACCCAAAGACCGGCGCCTTGTGAAACAGAATCTCAAGGACCCAGCGGTAAAGAAACACCTTCTGGTATGGGAGCAATACAAGAAGGAGAATGGGAAAGGTCTGCGATGGCAAAAACTCCACCATATGGCATATTAGTGCTAACAGACCGTGTAGTTCCCAAGATTACTCTCCAACACGACACCGGATCCATTCGCTACGTAGGAGCACAGGACAAGTACGATTGGGATCATCCTTTGTATTGGGTATCGCAAATGTTTGAGAATAAATGGTCCCCGCATCCGACATATATGGGGGAACAAGAACCCAAGTCAAAGCTCATGACTGTCATGATGGCTGTCGCTGCGGCCGGCTGAGGATGAAGCGAACCGAACACTCAACGAAAACGTACGAGACGAGGCTTGAATCAACAAAATAACGACCGACACGAATCTTCTGCCATATGGAGTTTAGTATTACCAGTATTCGAAAGGCTTAAGCGCTGGAAGAGTTGGGAAAACGGTACAACGCCCGGGATCGATGGACACGTGAGGGCTCGAATAAACAGACTCTTTTGCACGGGAACCACAATAGAGTATTCTAAGCAGCTTGTATTCGATGCAAGCGATACGCTGATCTATCCCTAGACTCAAGTAGTAAAAAGTCGCCGACTCTAGGCCTTCTCTGTTTCCTGTAGTGATCGCTTCTGACCTCGCTGTGCTTCCTGATGTTCCCATACGCCAAACAAACTCAAAACAAAAATCCGGTGCCATCTACGTATGGTCAAGATCTCTTAAATCTGCGTTAGTCTCCCGTGTCTCCCGTTCTGGACCAACTAAAGATTCCCACCACTCTCTACCAATACCAAGACAGATTCTGTGATGCATGGAACTGCATCAGGCCTCTCTTCTTCGTGAGAGGAGGCATTCCCCAGTTGTCCTCCTCGTCATCCCAGCCCTCGTCGACATGAGTCACGAAGCGCAGAGAACTTCTAAGGCCTTTGGTTCGAAGCCGAAGGGGTGAGTTGGCGGGATAGGTGTATATGACCTCCTTCCTCAGGTCCTTGGCATACTCGATCTCCATCATGTTGGCAGTCATGAAATCACAGAAGCGTGCAACGTCATCAATGCGAAGCTTCAACTCCAAGAGATGCTCTACAGTGACGCAAGGGTAGAGGCCCAGGTTGATGAGGTTGTACCGCTTGACGGCGGCCTCGTGCGTACGCCGATCTGCGAGTCGTGTCCGGAGAGGTCTGGGTGCGCGAGTGTTGTAAAACAGACGCCAGGCTTCGAATGCTTTGTCCAAAAACTTTTTGTACTCTTCCGCCCAGGTAGGGGGAGTGTCAAAAAGGGTGCTGGGTCGTCTGTACAAAGGGACGCGAATGTTGTTGGGCTGGAGGGATGTGTCTCCCGCCTCCCCGACAGAGTCAGCGTCAGCGTCAGCGTCTCCGCCTTCCTGAGCCGCAGTAGCGTAACCCTTATCAGCCTGGCTAGGGCTGTTCGCGTTGTTGAAAGAGGTAGCTGCTTTGTTCTCGTAGGGTGAACCAGGAGTGTTCGTGAGCCACTTTGGACTGTTTCCCATTGGGTTTTCATCTGCGTTGACGCCTTCAGTATTGAGGGATGACGGGGGGTCGATGTCCTTGAGCTGCCCCAAAGACTGACCTCTGTCCCGCTCGCTGCTTCCGGGATCATTTGTAAGATAGTTGTTGGCATTTACCGAACTCTCTGCTGTCGTGGTGTTGGTGGCAGAACCCTGAGCTTGAGCAGGGGCGCTAGGCAAAGCTGGGGCCAGGACCTTCATGTCATGATCATAGGTATCATCCACGGCAGCCTCAGCGTCGGGCAGGGTGTCATCTCCGGCGTGTTCTTCAGATCCTGTGTCGCCTTGCGAGTCAACGGTGTTTGGCTCGTCCACAGCTGTAGCGCTTGCTGCAGCTTGTGCGTCCCACGGGTCATCGTCGCTGTCCTCTTGCTCTTGGTCAGACTCATGCTCAGTGGTTGCTTCACTGTCACCATCCGAGCCATGCTCCCATGAGTCCGCGCCTGTCTCATCACCATCAGAGCCCTACTCCGATGAGATGTTGCGGAGGCTCTCGGCCTCATCAGGGGTCGCCGGAGGTAGATGAACAAAAGAAGCATAAATGCAGATGGTCTCTGAAGAAGCATACATAATGGCATGGTCCCGAAGAGCAACGAGAAAGTCAAGCTGCTTGTACCCATTCCTCGCAGCTCTTTGTCGAACAGGCCCTGGCATCTTGGCCGTGTGGAAGAACCTCATGCCCCATAGCGACATTATGGGAAGCAGTTCACAGTTATCTTAAGACTGTTTCTGGAGCAAGGTTAAACGCTTCTCGTCGAGCAAGAGGAGAGCACAAATACCTGTTGAACGAGAAAAGATGGCGTTGAGAGGGTCGGAGCTCTAAGTAACGAAAGCAATACGTTCAAAAAGATAGAGAACAAAATTATGTTCTAGTTGATGATTTCTGTTTTTTCTTTGGTTTTTTAAAGAGAAAGGAAGAGCAAAGTCGGAGGGGAAATGTGGAGGAGAGGGTTTGTGTGGGAGCGAAGTTGCAAACGGATGAGAGATCGAGATTACGTTACAACCCCTCGAAGGGAAAAAAGGCACAAGCACTGATTCGCAAGCTATCGATAAGCTACAGATGTCTACACGCCCAGGAGTGGTCACGGGAGCCAGCAAACACTTATTGTAAACGAGTTGCTGGACATCAGGGAAAGAGTAGACGAGTTCCTGAATGTGATGCCAACACCGGTGACAAACGGCAAACGAGACATGTAAAACGACACCAGAAGCAAAGTGTAGAGCCTCTGTTGTCTACAGAGCATGTTCCTTGGGGCTATAGAAGCACAATGGGACGCTTGGAGGATTGGTGCTGCTGCAGGGGGAACATGGCAGTGCCGTAGCGGGAGTGGGAGCAACGGCCTGGAGCAGCCACTTCGTCTTTTTTACCTCAACCGTCACCAAACCACTTCAATTTCTAGAAAAACAGTGAAAGGAACATGATGTCACTTGCACAATCCCATATTGGTCTTAGAAATCGTAGTATGTGGTGCTGATATCTTGGTTGGAAAGGAGCGGTGCATTGCCTCGTTGCTGTTCTGCCAGTGGGGAAGAAACTGCAGCAAAAAGCAGCTAGAATATGCACTGCAAAGAGCCTGAAGACTGCATATCAACTGTACAATGTCCATTAACCTGTGTTGTTCACACGTCCAACTTCATTACTGTTCAAGCCACATCCTTTATCCCTTTGTTGTATCCCTGTTTCACCCTTAAAGAATACATCGAAACAAAGCTAAGCTGGTATAATACTCAAAAAGACAAAGACTATATACTAACCCTCCCGTAATCCTCAGATGCTCCAAGGTATCTTGCGATTCCTCCGCTTCTAGCTTCCCTCATCCCTTCGTATGAACATCTCCACGACAGTCCGCGCTCGATCCCTCGACCCCTTTTCCTTTTCGTCTACACGACAGACGAGAGGCCCTACTATCTCGGCATATCTACGTTCACGCATCTTGCGCTTCTTTGTGTCCTCGTCCTCCGCGTTGCCACGGCGAAAGCTCAGGCGGCGGGAAAGACCACCTTTGGGCTCGTTCGTCACAGGCGTGAGCTCCGACGCTGCGCGGGACAGAGTAGCTGTGAGGAAGACGAATGCAATGTTGTGGTTGGGTGCTGATGAGAGAATATCCAGGACCTGTGTCTTGGTGTCGGGCCAAGCGGTCATGGGTAGGGATGTCACATTGGGCAATGATGTTGAGATCTTGGCCCAGAGTTGAGTAGGGATCAGACCGTCTGTGAGAGATTCGAGGAAGAGTAACAGGATGGATGAGACGGCCTCTAACTTAAACGACGCAGGCCATTCCAATGGAAGCGCGTCAAGAAGAGAAGCATCATTGTCCAAGGCAGACACAAGCTTGACCTTTGCATCCTGCATATCAGCCTCTCCAACCCTCCATGTCGAAGACTCAAGGGGCCATCCAGGATCCCGTGGCAGCACTTCTTCCTCGAGCATCGTCGATTCAGCTAGACTGCGTTCAACAAGCGTCTGCACCACCTCAGTGAGCTTGAAGAGCTCCTTCGGCGCTGAGCAATGGATATCCGAATCGTAAGCAATCGCCCCCTTGATACCCGTCTTCTCGACAAACTTTCTGATGCCGCCGTCAGGGATTCTTATCAACTCTGCGATAGAGCGCCCTACGCAAGACGGCTGCCAGATTCCGCGCACGGGGATGAAGTGGTCCCGACCGTCTTCTATGCGAAGAACCAGGACCTCTTCGATCTTGGCGCGGGCTTCGTTCAATGCCCGTATGTGAGAAATGGCTGACACTTGAAGCTCCAGTAGTACCAATGCTGTCTCTCCTGGTTCGAGTGTGACCGTTTCACCCAATGGCTCTTGAGACTCTTCATCTGCTGACAAGAATGTGGTTTTCAACCATACAGGGATAGCATCGTCACCGTCTTCTGTCGTCGGCTTCGTCACGAATGAGAAGGTCGCGGGAACACTGCCAGTATTTGCAACCGTCAGATGCCGAATCTGCTTTTCCAGGGGTGTGACCTCTCCAAAATCGACAATGTTCTCTTCATTACCATCGCTGCCTTCCACGACAACCGTAATGCCTGGTCGGCCTTCATTCTCAGCTCTGTCTAGTTCCCGCGCCACTTCTGCATGGATCTTGGCCTTGAGCTCCGGTACAACAGCGTCGTAGTCGAGCGTGAATATAGAAGTGATGGGCTTGTGGTCAGACGATGTGATGCGTTGATGCGAGGTGTAGATCTCTAAGTGTATGCGGTCATGGAAGCCCTCCTTTGTAACAAGCTCCTCGGCCTCAGGGTCATCATTATCCTCGTACTCATCATATCCCAAAGTGTCAGTTGATGACGTTGGATCCTCCCCATCTGCATCGGGGTCATAACTAAACAGCACGTCCTCGTCCTCTTCGAGCCCCCTGGACTTCATCTCTGCATCTTTCTTCTTTGCCTCTTCCTCATCTTTAATCTTTGTTTCATAATCTTGTTTATCTTTTCGTGTTCTAAATAAGATACGGTCACACCAGCTTGGAGCTCGTTGCTTCTCACTTGAGTCAAAGAGGCCAACTGTACCAATATCGTATTTGTATGTTGGTAGAAAGGTGATTTCCCCTTCTTGCCAGCCATCGTGGAAAGCTTTCCGTTGCTTGATAACTCTTCGTAATTGGTCATGCGGCAACAGTGAATCGATGGTGGCTTGCAGAGATGTGGGATCCTGGCTTGGATCTTCGGGGAAATCGTCAGGGTCTGGTAGATCGCTCGCAGTATCAAAGCTCTCTTCCCGAGAATGCAGTGACACTCTTGTAGAAGACTCATCATCACTGTCCGAACCCTTCATGATAATAACACCTCGTTCATCAAGAGGCTTCGAGTCCTCGTCTGCGCCATATTCACCTCTAGCATGCAGTGTGAGCAATCGTCGGATATCGTCGCCAGGTATTCCATCTAGTCGAAAGTTCAAATCTCCGAACCAGAATGCAAGATCCTCATCTCCAATCTTTTCACCCTCATCTTCCTCGACGCCTGAATGGACGATGGGTTCAAACTGAGTGCGTGAGAGAACCTGGCCAACATCCCAACATCGCCGGTCCAAATACGAAGAGCCAGCACCACTAGCCAAGTGGCTATTTATAAAAACCATGCGAGTTGTTTCGCCAAGCAGCAATCGCGTCGTCACGGCCCCCTTGTTTCCAAAATAGCCTAGCAGACCCGTACCAACTTGTTTGGTACTGACGTTGCTAATAGTTGGTGCAATTTCGGGAGAAGCATAAACCAGCAACAACAAGCCAGTCATTTGCTCCGCAGTGACAAGTTCGTATCCTTGGGGCAATGCTGCTTCCAATGCCGCTTTCCATTTGTCCATAACACTTGTATCCGTATATACTGCTCGATTCATATACTCTTTGGTCGTGTTGAGGTCTACAATTTCCTGGAGTCCCAGCACATAAAGGCCAATATCACCCCCGGCAGTCAAATGCGGCTTCGAACTGCCATTGTCCTTGTCATCCGTCTCCACGGCACTATTTTGTGAGAGGTTCAGGGACGTCAACTGTTGATCCAGGCCTTCGCCGTGTGTGAACCAGGTCGCGAGGTCTTTATCAGTACCCGTGCACGCAGCAACGTTCCACGTCCCAATCTTGACCTTTAGGCTATGTGGACGCACGAACTCGGATCGTCGGGCATGAACAGCTTTAGCTAGAGACTGGGGCGTCGTCGAGGTGGGATCCCCCAGTTCAGAACCAGGGGACTGCTCATTTTCGTCGGCCATGGACGCCGTTACTACAGTATTAGACGAGAGAGACGAGTTATATATACGGCGCCGTCTCGAGATATCGCGGGGAGGTCGATTTGCAGTTCTCTATATCATGACTTCGAACAACCTGGCTCTACCGTAGGCGCAAGGCAAGGGATATTTGGGTCGTGTGAGCACCAAAAGAATGTTGAGCTAATTAGAACAAGGGATAAAAGGGATAAACCTCAGCTTAAACGTATGACGTCGAGCTGCTACCGTAGTCTAAAATGGTGGTGTAGGAACCTACCTAGGCTAGCCAGGGTCCAGCTCAGCGCCCCGCGGCAGCGTCATCTTGCGCCTTATCGATAAGCCCAGCAGCGCCCAAGCATGCGCACTCGTGCCTCTCAAAGAGTAAACTTCAATCTCCATACCACAACCAACTGTCGATCACACGATCATCTTCTAGGGCCCTGATATCATACGCGCATTACCCATCGGCCTTGATCTATCATTTGTGACAAGACTATCTCCAACTAGCGATCACGTCTCCACATTCATATCGTGCCCAAACATCACAACAACAATAATTATCACCATGAGCCGACAAACACCACGAAAGGCTCGCCATAGCCGTCAGCCGTCAAACCGTATCCCCGCCGTTTCAGATTATGAATCCGATGCCGCTGCCATACATGCTGACTATGCGCCGCCACCTCCACGCACTAATACTGAGCTTAATCTCTCTGTCCTCCAACGTTACCTCCCCTCCATCCATACCATTCTCAGCATAGCCGCCAACGGTGTCATCTACACATTCAATAGCACTTCAGAAAGCTGGGAGAAGTCAGGAGTCGAAGGCACCATGTTTGTATGCGCGCAGAGTCCACTTCCCGAGGACCCAGGACAGCGACCACGGGCGTGCGTGTTTGTTCTCAACAGACGGGGACTTGACAACGTGATCGTGGACCTTTCACGGGTCACACATGCAGAGGTGTCTGGGGAGCTCGTAATTATG